CTACATGGCCCTGCTAGCACGGATGTGTGAAACAGGTGTGGACAGCAGATTTTAGCAGTGTGGGGTGGAAGGGGCCCTAACGTTACTTGTATATTGAGAAAGTGTGATGGGGAGATCACCGCGTGGGAGTGGATTTGAGCACTAAGATGTCAGTTTAGCAGTCACATCTCTGAGCTTAATTGCTTGTAAGAAGTGGTAAAAAGAAGTAGATGTTTTTAAAACCTTAAATGGGCAGATAAAAAGACGTGCACCTGGGAAGATTAGGGGCTTTTTTTTTTGTTTTTTAACATGATGTCATTTAGTACAGGTTGGATTTCACTCTGTTCCCCTCCCACTGGCTCTTTTTGCTTCCCAAGCACTTCTGCCTCTGTTCGCAAACTCTATGTGCTTAGCCAACTCTGCCGTCTTCTCTGACATAAAAGACTCGTCAGCTTTTCCCCCAATCTTTTTCAAAAGCATATATATGAAAACCATAATACAGACCCAAAAAATCCCCTCTGGGGACAGGGTAGGAGACCTCTCATCGGTGATAGCTGCTATTTTCCCACCCTCCTTAAAGAACAGTTAACCCCTCATAACCTGACCTTTCCTCTACCACATCCAAAGCACAATTACTCATTATGCTTTATGCAAAGCCATCTTACTGAGTAAGTTCAGGGCCCTCGGGCAACTTAGACCATGTTTCCAAATAAAAAATAAATTGCTGGGGCTGTGTTTCAAGGGCTAAGGTTCTACTGAGCAAGCGTGAGGACCTAAGCTTGAGTCACGAGAGGCCAGGTACAAGTTTGGCAAGTGTGGTGTGCGCACACGCGCGCGCGCGCGCGTGCACACACACACACACACACACACAAATGAAAACTGTAGCTGAGCAGTAGCAATGCACACTTTTAATCCCAGCACTCGGGAGGCAGAGGCAGAAGGATCTCTGTTAGTTTGAAGTCACCCTGGTCTGCAAAGTGAGTTCCAGGACTATTACACAAAGAAACCCTGTTTTAAAAACCAAAACAGTGGGGCTGCAGAGAGGGCTCAGCAGTTGAGAGCACTGACTGCTTTTCCAGAGGTCCTGAGTTCAGTTCCCAGCAACCACATGGTGGCTCACAACCATCTGTAATGGGATCCGACACCCTCTTCTGATGTGTCTGAAGACAGCTCCAGTGTACTTATATAAATAAAATAAATTTTAAAAAAGCAAAAAACAAAAAACCAAAAAGGATTATATAATAGAGACTTAACTCCACTGTTACAAATAAATAAAAGACGCCAAGAATGCAGACAATAAAAGCAAAAAAAAAAAAAAAGACAAATAGGATTATATTAGAATATACATAGCAAAAATAGAAGTAATGTGGACAACCTACAAAATGGGAGAGAAATTGTCAAACTGTTTATCTACCAAAAGGTTAAAGGTTGAAAGATTTATTTTTTTGAGCTGGGTATGTTGGTAGGGGCCTTTAATCCTAGCACTAGGGAAACAGAAGCATGAGGATCTTTGTGAGCTCAAGGCCAGCCAGGGCTTCATAGTGAGACTCTGTCTTTTAAAAATAGGAACTTGTAAAAAAAAAAAAAAAAAAAAAATAGGAACTTGTGAGAGCCCTGCTTCCCACAAGTGCTGGGAAACAAACTTGGGTCCTCTGCAAGAACAGTATAGACTTTTAACTGCTGATCCACCTCTCTGAGTTCCTGACAAAAGATTGAGACCCCAAAGTTAGATAGAACTCAAAAACATAACAAAAATAATTTAAAAGTGAGCAAGAGCTTCGGATGTGGTAATTCTAGCATTTGGGAGGTAGAGGCAGAAAGATCCAGAATTAAGAGCAGCCTTTATGTAAAACAAATTTGGGGCTAATCTGGGCTACATGAGATTCTCTTTTACAAATGGATGGGGGAATGGACTGAAGGTGCAGTTAAAAATTTGCAGGAGTCTGGAGGTGTAGCTCAGTGGTGGAACACATACTTAGGGTTTACATGGCTCTGGGCTCACTCAAACCAAGCATCATTCTCGGCTCTATAGTGATTTGTTGGCCAGCTTGTCCTTCCCCATGCCTGTGTTTGTGATATATATGTACATAGATTTATATGGTATAGTAGACATGGTAGTATGTGCTGTCTGTGATCCCAGCACTCAAAGACAGAGGCAGGAAGATCATGAATTTGAGGTCAGCCTGGGCTATGAGCCAGACTGTCTTCTGTTTCTGTCTTATTCTTCTATTCCTGTGGCAAAACCATAACCAGCCATTATTTTTTTTTTTTATTGGATGTTTTATTTACATTTCATATGTTGTCCCCTTACCCCATCCCCCACCCACCCAGGAACCCCCAATCCCCTCACACCTCCTCCTTCTTCTTTGTGGATGTAACCTCTATCTACCCCCCCACTCCCACCTCCCCACCCTCAAAACTCCCACCCCCTGGGACGTCCAGCCTTCATGAGGTCAAGGATCTCATCTTCCACCTGTGCCCAGCAGGGCCCTCCACTCTTATATATTCAGCTAAGGCCCTGGATCCCTCCATAAGTGCTCCCAGGCTGGTGGTTTAGACCCTGGGAGCTGTGGTTGGTTGGTATTGTTGCTCTCCTCATGGGGCCACAAATCCTTTCAGCTCCTTCAGTCTTCACTCTAACTCCTCCATTGAGAACCCCATAATCACTTCAATGGCTAGTTGTGAGCATCTGCCTCTGAATATGTCAGACTCTTGAAGACCTCTGAGGAGACATCCATATCAGGCTCTTATCAGCACGCACTTCCTGACTTCCACATCAGCATCTACCTTTGGTGACTGCACATGGGATGGATACTCAGGTGGAAAGGTCTTCAGACGGCCCCTCCTTCAGTTTTTGTCCCTCGCTTTGTCTCCATATTTGCTCCCTTGAGTATTTTGTTGCTCCTTCTAAGAAGGACCGAATCACCCCCACTTGGTCTTCCTTCTTTATGGACTTCATGTGGCCTGTGAGTTGCATCTTGGGCATTTTAAGGTTCTGGGCTAATATCCAATAATCAGTGAGTGAATACCATGTGTGTTCTTTTGTGATTGGCTTACCTCACTCAGTATGATAATTTCTAGTTCCATCCATTTACCTAGGAACCTCTCAAATTCATTGTTTTTAATAGCTGAGTAATACTCCATTGTGTAAATATACCACATTTTTTTAATCCATTCCTCAGTTGAAGGACATCTGGGTTCTTTCCAGCTCCTGGCTATTATAAATAAGAACCAGCCATTATTTTATTGGGCCGTGATTTCAGAATTTAGAGTTGTTTTAGGATTACTGCTGCTGTGAAGAAACACCGTGACCCAAGCAACTTGGGGAGGAAGGGGTGTATTTGGCTTAAGCTTCTGCATCACTGTTCCTCAGAGGAAGTCAGGAAGGAACGCACACAGGGCAGGAATCTAGAGACAGGAGCTGATGGAGAGGTGCTGTTTACTGGCTTGTTCCTCATGGTTTGTTTGGCCTGCTTTCTTATCGAACTCAAGACCACCAGCCCAGGATTAGCCCCACCTACAATGGCTGTGCCCTCCCCCATTAATTACTAATTAAGAAAATGTCCTACAGGCTTGTCTGCAGCCCAATCTTATAGAGACATTTTCTCAATCGAGGGTCTCTTCTCTCACATAACTCTAATGTGTGTCAAATGGACATAAAACTAGCCAGTGTAAGAGTCCAGTGTGAGGCTGAGCAAACAAATAGCAGCAGGAACAGCTGAGCTCACATCTTGATCCAAAAGCAGGAGGCAGATAGAGACATACCAGGAATGGTGCCAGTGCTTTGAAACCTTAAAAGCCCACCCCCAGTGACACACCTCTTCCAACAAGTCCACATCTAATCCTTCCCAAACAGTACCACCAGCTAGGACCAAGCATTTCAGTGTATGAGCCTATTTTCCGCCATTCTCATTCCAACCAAAAGAGTCCCTTACTACCAAAAAAATTATGTACAGAGGACTGGGATATTACTTAGTCCGAGAAAGAATAAATCTGTCGTCTGTAGCCAAAGGAATAAGTGGTATGGAATTAGAGGCTGTGCGTCAATGAAATAAACCAGACACAGAAAGATAAACACCATATTCTCTTACACATGGAAGGTTTTAAAAGTGTTTGATCTTAATGTTGAGTGTTGATTACTGGACACTGATAGTTGGGGGAGGGCAGAGAGCCGATGGATGACAGGCACTGGAAGGCACCTGGATAGAAAACATAGGTGCTGCTGTTTCACACCACAGTGAAAGGGTTGTGTTTTGCAACAACCTATTTTACATAAACATACACAGGGGGACTCTTTTGTTAATTTTTAACTTTTAATATTTTAAAAACTTTAGCTTTTTAAAACTTGGAAGCTCTCAAACGCTCATAGGCTCTAACCATAAGTAACAAGGAAGAGGAAATAATAATTACCCGGATTCGCTCTTTTTCTTTCTGCATATATTGAAATAGCGCACTATAACCCGTAAGTTAGTCTAAGTAGTCTGTGTCTCATTTATGTTTTACTTTTTTTTTAGTTACCATACCAAAAAATATATTTTCCCCTCCCTTGCTGGTTCCTTTCTCCCTGCTAAATAGTTTCTTCTACTTTCATGTTACATACATTCTATTAGTCTCTCTTGTTTTCTTACCTCCCAACACCTCTTCCACTCCTCCTAGCCTTTTACTACTATCAGGTCATGCACACTCACACGTATGCACACACATATACGTGCATGTACAACTACATGTTAACAATAAAGGAAGGCCTTGGTTGCTGTTTCTGTAGAGCTGCTTTTCTTTAATGTTTCGTTACATTTACTTATTTGTGTGTGTGTCTGTATGTGGACACATCCCTGTGTACACGTGTGAGGAGGTTAGATGACATGTTGTGTGAGCCAGTTCTCTCCTTCTACTATGTGCATCCTGGAGCCACTGCTCATCACACTCAGTGATGCCACTGAGCCATCATGCTGGCCCTTACTTACTTTTATTGATTATATTGATTATGATTTGAATAATTTGTGTTGTTTTTTTCCCTAAAGCCTTGATAAACTTGCTGAAGTTCCTTATGTCAAATGAAACCGTACTTTTGGCGAAACACAACATTTTTACATTGGCCCTTATGGTGAGTATTAATAAAAATACTTGATTTGCTAAAGCCAATATACTAAGGCAGAAATGGGCTGGTTTGTAATAGGAGCCAGGGTCTGGGGTCCAAGCTGTATTTTCCTTATAGATTTGGCCTGGGAAGCATGGATACAGGTCACATCTCTATGAACATTGAGTTTGGTTGCAGCTAAGACTATATTGTACTCTTGTAGTCTCTATGTGGGTGAATAGTAAGTTTTCTAGAAGCCTCTGGGCCAGATAAGTGGTTCCATCATCATTGCTTGGCTTCTGAAGGGTACATAGAAATGCTTATCTGGCTAGTAATTCAGGAGAGAAGGAAGCACCAAACCTTTCAGTTGTCTTTACAGCTTATAAATGCTAAATATTTTGGGAGGGGATGAAGTCCTGACTTTGTAGTATCTGTTAATTGAAGAACTATGCCTAAGATGGCCAATTTTCAGCTCTTAGCATGACAACGAAGTCATGCAGGGTTGAGACATGTGACAGCACCTATTATAGGGTATTCTTTCTACATGTATGAGTTAGATAAGAATGAAGGTAGAGAATAAGTAAGAAATTTGTTAGTTTTTATCAATGAATTTTTAATAGTTGTTTTACAACCAGTTTACAAAGTCTCCCAGAAATATATATCTGGAAACCAATAAGAGATGCCTACAGCATACCACTAGTAATGTTTTTCTGATCTTCCCAGCTTAATGCCTGGATATGGGCTATTGCTTCTTTTTCAGATTGTGAACCTATTTAATATGTTTATCACATATGGTGACACATTCCTGCCAACCCCCAGCAGCTATGATGAGCTTTACTATGAAATTATCCGCATGCACCAGAGCTTTGACAACCTCTACTCCATGGGTAAGCTCTTGTCTTCTTTTCTTTCCTTTTTTTTTTTTTTTTTTTCTCGAGACAGGGTTTCTCTGTATAGCTCTGGCTGTCCTGGAACTCACTCTGTAGACCAGGCTGGCCTCAAACTCAGAAATCCGCCTGTCTCTGCCTCCCAAGTGCTGAGATTAAAGGCGTGCGCCACCACTGCCCGGCTCTTGTCTTCTTGTCTTTCTCTGCCCTCTGTCTGATAAGTAACAAGAAAATGCTACGAAAGATTCACTAGTTGGATAATACCTTTGTATGATATAGAAATAAATAGATCATAGCCAGGCATGATAGTGAATGACTTTAATTCCAGCACTCAGATGGCAGAGGCAGACAGATCTCTGTGAATTCCAGAAACCAACCTAATAGATAGAGCCAAGAAACCAACCTGATAGATAGAGCCAAGAAACCAACCTGATAGATAGAAACCATGGGGTTTCCTGACCATCTAGCCTAGCCTACTTGGTGAGCTTCAGGCCATTGGGAGACCCCGTCTCAAAATAGGAGGTGGATAGCATCCTTGAGGAATTACATCCTGCATGCTAGGCAAGTGCTCTTATCTACTGAGCTACAGCCTCATCTCTTTTGTTGCCTTTTACAACCCTTCTCTTGTTGACCCTTTAAAAAACAAAGTGAAAGAAAACAGAAGCCTTGCCTCTTCTTGGGATCCTATATTATAAAAGAAGTAGGAGATAAAACAAATAATAACATATGTTTTAAAAGGGCTAGCAAGGACTTAACTCTTGCAAAGAACTTAGGTCCAGTTACCAGCAAAACGTGTCAGTGACTCAAAACCATCTATATCTCCAGTTATAGGAGAGTCCAATGCCTTCTGCTCTCTGCAGGCAGAGAGCCTCTCTGAGTGCCTCTTACAGGAACAACATATAATCTCATACAGGAACAAACCCGTACAGACAAAATGTTTTTAAAAGTTTGTTAAAGGGATCAGGGCAATGAGCTTGCTCAGTTGGTAGTAACAATGCTTACTGTACAGTCCTGGTTACTCAATTTCAGTCACTGGAACCCATGGTGAAAGGAAAGAACAGATCCCAAAAGTTGTTGTCTGACCCCCTACGTGCACATTGTAATTGTACTTCAAGCTAAAGCTATTATTTATATAGTAAATCATGGAAAACAGAAAAAAACACACTATTAAAGTCATGAAAGAAAGACTGAAGAAACTTACCCCAATTTTGGCTTTTAGACTGAGGATATAATTCTGTTGATAGAGTGTTTTTCCTAGAATGTAGGAACCCCTGGATTCAATCCCTAGCACACCATAGCAGTGTGTGCTGGCACACACCTGTAGTCTCGGCACTCTAGAGGTAGAAGCAGGAGAATCAGAAGTTCAAGGTTATCCTCGTTGACATAAAGAGGTCTAGGCCAATCTGGGCTACAAGAGACCTTGTCTCAAAAAGTAGCAGTAAATTGGCTGGGAAGACAGCTCAGTTGTAAAGTCCTTGCCTGGCAAACATAAGGACCTAAGATTGGTCATCAGCTACAGATAGAGTGTAGTAGCTGTGCAATCCCAGTTGGAAAGTTAAATCAGGAAAAACTCAAGTTCAAGGTTTGGGCTACATACTCACGCCCACATGTGCATGTGTGCATACTTTTTTCCCCTCTCCCTCCCTCAAATAAATATTTGATAACAAACCAAAAAATTCTTCAAACAACCCCCTTGACGTCAGCACAAGACACCCCAAGACCAAGTTCGTAGTACAAGGAGATTAGATCAGGGAATAAGAGACAAGTCAGACAGAGGAAGACAGAAAAGGGAAGAGGAACAAGGGAAGGGGGAGAAAAAGGACAAGGGAAAGAGGGAAGTGATATCTCTCAGAGGGAAAAGAACTGCCTCTGTGTGTGTACTGCTGACTCAGGTCTTCATGCTTGGGCAGCAGAGATTTTACCCTCTGAGCCATCTCCCCAGCCACAGATGTGGCTCACAGGCAAATAGCAATTTATAAAGGGAAAAAAAAGGAAACTGTTGGGAGGAGTTGGTTTGCTTTGATTGTACATGTTACTTAGGGCAGTCAAAAGGGGACTTTTGATAGCTGAACTACATTACTTTGATGGCTGGACCATGGTGGACAGTCTCGGAGGGAGGAAGTGGCCAAATAAGAAGTAGACCTTGATGGCTAGCTTTAGGAACATAATCTAACAGTTTAGAAAGCAGAAGGGGTCTGGGAAAGGGAAAGCCCTGCTAGACCTTTTCTCTCTGTCTCTCTGTCTCTCTGTCTCTGTCTCTGTCTCTCTCTCTCTCACACACACACACACACACACACACACACACACACCAACAAAACAACTATGAATAATCACAATCACTTGTTTTCTCTGATTCTGAGTTTCCTTTTGTTGTATGACAAAACTTTTATGGGGGAAGGGGAGCACAACATACATGTCTGCTCACACCAGATGGGAAGCTCAGGATCTACCAAAGTATAGATACCAACAAAATCCGACTTGGTGAGCCAGTGAGTTTTATTAGGGTTGCTTATAAGTGAGTGTGTGAAGAGTTACAGGCGTGATAATGACTCAAAGACAGTGTCATCACTAATGTCCACCCCAGCACAGATGACAGCTAACAAAAGCCAGGAACCTGGAACATACTGCACAGCCCGCAGGTAGCTCAAGATTGAAGAATGTCCTTTCTAAGTGACTCTGGTCTAAACCTCTTTCAGGCAGCTCAGCAGGCTTTGCTTCTTCTGGGCAGCTAGTCTGGTCTCTTGGATCTTCTTTATACTTTGGCTTATCTAAAGAGACCTTTTTGTTGCTTGGCTTGTTTGAGAGTGACTCTCAGGAGCTTGGCTTATTAATTCTTGCATGGAGGGGCCTAGTGAATCTGGTCAGTTTCAGGGACTTCCTGAAGTGTCTTGAGTAGTTCTTCCTGCTTAAAGAGCTTCTCTGCAGAATGGAATGTTTTGATTTTGGAGGAAACAGTTACATAACACCTATTTTTATGCTATATTATATATAACCTTTGTCCAGTGCCTAGCACTTTGTAAACAGGCTGTGTAGTATGTTCCAGATTCCTGGCTTTTGTTAGCTGTCATCTGTGCTGGGGTGGACATTAGTGATGACACTGGCTTTGAGTCATTACCATTCCTGTAATTTGTAATATTCCCGTAATCACATATTTGCCTCTGTAACCAAACAGTCTTTAAGAACATATTTGGGGGCTGGGGAGACGGCTCAGTGGGTAAAATCCTTGTTGCCCATGAATGGAGACCTGAGTCAGCAGTACACACATTAAAACGCCAGTTATGGCTGTGGAGATGCTGTGGAGATGGAGACAAGTATATCCAAAGCTTGCTTGCTACTAGTTTAGTCAATCAGTGACTTCCAAGTTTAGTAAGAGACCATATATAAAAAAATAAGGTATAGGGGCCATCTAGATGGCTTGTCAGGTAGTGAAGCGTGCCTCTAAGCCTGGCAACCTAAACTTAATCCCTGGAACCCACACGTTAGAAGAAAAAAGTCAACCTCACAAATTGCCTCTGACCTCCATAAGCATGCACTTTAACATTCACACATAAATTAGTAAAAATTTTAAAAGTTGCTGAGTAATAGAGGACGACATTCATCTCTGTTCTCTATGTGCACACGTTCCTATACACATGAATGCACGTGTGCATGCATGCAGACAGCAAAAACAAACGCTTTACTGAATGTCGCTTTCTGTTCATCATCCAGGGAGTGCTTGTGCTTTTGTGTCTCTTCTAAATGCCATGGTTATAATACCTGTGTGGCCTGAAATCATAGCTGTCAAGGGATATGCTCACTTTGTATTTCTGTAATCTTTTCTCCCGCTGCGAATGTGTCTGTAAAGGAGAATTTGATCAGATGGTGAATGTGTTCTATTGATTCATTTAGCAGGTTACCCATGTAAGCTAGAGAAGCCAGACAGCTTAGTCCTTGTCTGAACCGTGGTCATTCTCTATCTGGAGAGGCTATTTGTCCTATTTGGCTGGATGCATGACTGGTTTATAAAGATGTGCGTGGAGCAAGAAGGGACACCAGCTCAGCCAGTAGGAGTGCTGAGTTTAAGGCCAGCCTGAACTACATAGTTCCATGCCAACCAAGTGTAACCCTTGCCATTAGGGAAATGGTAAACATGGCAACCAGGTTGCCCTCACAATGCCACTCCTATAATAGATACCTGTGAGTATGCATGTGTTGTGCAGGCATTTGTGCATAGAGGCCAGGGGTCAATCTCAGATTATTACAGGGGAGCTGTCCACCTCACCATTTTAAGCAGGGCCTCTCATTGACCTGGGTTTGCCAAGAAGATAAAGCTGACTAGCCAGGAGCAAGCCCCAGGGTTCCATCTGTCACAGCCTTGCCAGTGCTGGGATGACAAGCGTATGCCCTAGACCAGGCATTTGTCTATGGGTTTGGGCTCTAACTCAGGTCATCCAGCTTTAGTGACCAACTGGGCCATCTCCTCATCATCTTTGTATATAAGAGAATACAGAAACTAAATTTTGGGGCCTGTTATCAGGGGAGGGGCTAGGAACTACCTAGGCAGAAAAGGAATATTGTTTACTTTGATGAAAAGTGAGAAAGAAGTCAGGGAAAGAAAAATTCCTGGAGAAAATTGTTAAAAGATTCTAGAAGCCCTCATTTGTTGTCTTTTTAAAAACAAGATTGGCACAGGTTTTGTTTGGTGTTTGTAATCGTGCTATCCTGAGCTGTGTCTTCGTTTCTCATATTTGTTTTGTGTCAGGAGCTTGACAGATCTGTCTTCTTTCGTTCGCAGTCCTTAGGCTTTCCACCAACGCTGGCCAGTGGAAGGAAGCGGCGAGCAAGGTGACACATGCATTGGTGAACATCAGGTAAGGAATGAAAGTTTCTTTCAGAGTTGGCTGCTCATCCGAGCTTTATTGCGCCTTCCCAAGGAGAGTGCTCTAAGCACTACTACTATTTTAAGCCCTGGTGTCTGTAGGAGTGGAAGAAATTGTCATACTTGATCAAGAAGCAGAAGTACATGAGGCTCTCATTTTGTCATATTGAAATAGCTCAAAGTGCTGGCTGTGTTTTGAATTTTCTACCCCAGAAATGGTTGCATGCCCTTTGCAGGCACCTTAGCTGCCAGAGTGTTCTTTATGCATAAGCTACCTGCGAGCTTCCCCTAAGGTTTCCTCTGCTCTTCACCAGGGTTTCTTCATGGGCATCTAGAACTTTCACATTTTATTATAGATAGCTATTTGTATTTGTGGTAAATACAAGCAAACAAAGGCCCTAGGGCTAAGTCATTTTTAGTTCCTTATGAAATTTCAAGACAGAGTGCTGTATATGTTAGGTAAAATTGTGTCAGACTTGGGGTTCACAGGGAGGGGGGAAGCAGTAATCTCACAAAAATACGTGGGTCTGTTAGTTGGGAGGGAAAGGGCTGCATGTTAGATCTCAGTCTGGCTTTCTCCTATTGCTTCCTCCCTTTGTTCCTAGGATTTTCCTTTTTCTCAACAGTTATTAAGTTGTTTTTGCAAACAATCAAGAAGTTAATGTTGATTAAAAGAGGCAAGACCAGCAGATGGGGAACTTGAGTTAGCTCCAGATGTAAGGCTTGCCAGACACTCCAATAATAGTAGTGTGTATTTACCACTTTGTATAGATTGTAATGTGTGAGAGAGCAGGGGTGTGGTGTTTATTGCTATCTTTCTTTTAAAGTAAAATCTCTTGTCTCTGCAGTGATTTACTCCAGTGTGTCACATCTGGGAGTAAAAGGCAAGCTGTGAAATGTGTGTGTTAGGTGGGCTGGGCCGAGGGAGCATGGGGTGAGATGTGTTAACAAGACACAGTGAGGGAGGTTAGACTGCCTGCCTATACCCAGAGACATTTGCAGCAAACACAATTTTATAAATCTCACCAATAAATGCAGATCTGCACCTAGCAGTCAAGATGTGAGTCCATATAATAGATGTCCGTTTCTAAAAGAATTTGGCATTACAAACTCTTCTTCCACACACCCCTTTATGACCTAAGGGCAGTAGGACAGACATGGATGTTTGAATGCAGCATCAGGTTCTGGGCTGGAGTATAAAGTACATAAGAATATAGTGTATGTTATTTATCATATATTTACACAGGCTTTTCAGGCAGCTTGATCATCTGGGGCTCGTTTGCTTCATCTTCTACTTTGTTGCTTTTGCTTTCAATGATTTCTGCCCTTGGCTGCTGTCCTTATTCTTCCCAAGGGCCACCAGGCAGCTGGTTTAAGTTCCTGCCTTCTCTGAATAACTGAAAGAATCAGGCTGAGCCTGGAAAAGATGCCTATCAGCATGGTTGCTTCTCTCCTTTCATTCCAGTTCTCAAACTGGGCTTCCTGCAGAGAATAAGCACATCCATTTCACTATTGCTAATTAAGTATTTGGCTGAAGAAGCAAAGACTCGTTCACTCTCCTCAAGAGATTATTGGAAAGATGTGTGAGAACCTTATCACACTAAATCCAGACCAAGAACACGTGTGATGATACAAGGACCAGTATACCTTTGCTCCTTACTGACATCTCTTTTCCCTTACTAAATGTCAGGCTTGGGATGTTCTTCCAAACGCTATTTCTCTAATCTTTTAATCTTCAAACTCTAGAATATAATATATGCGTCCTGTTTTTGCCTCTTGAAACAGATCCTCATATAGCTTTGAGCCAGTGGGGACTTCCTGCTCTCTCTATTACTGAAGTGCTGGGATTACACATGTGTGTCACCACACCTTCCTCAAAATACACTTTACCAGGAAATAAACTAATTCTTAAAGATTAAAGAGTGACTTTTTGAAGATCCTGCTTTGTTATGTGGTGAAGTGTGAGCCCAGGCTCTTCCTTTCAGGATCCAGGTTCACAGAGAAGTCTTATGCTATTCTGTCTTTCTCTACGGGCTAGAGGGCATGGGGTGAATCAGTTCGAGAAGCTGCTGCTACTGTTTGCTACATGATCTTGAGCAAATTACCTTCTCTGGACCTCTTCTACCACCTAGTAAATGGGGATGATGATACCAGCCATTAGCTCCTGATAAACTATAACATTGTAGTCATTTCATATAGAATGTTCTCAAGTGTCATATATCTTATAAGATTCCAGAATCTCTTTCCTTCTCTTAGGCCAACTAATATTTTCATGGTATTTATTTACCATGTTTTATCTGTTCATTTGTTGATGGATACTTGACTTACCGTTGCCTTTTTGGTTTTGTATATGATGCTTCTATGAGTACAAGCTGTGTTTGGGAGCTTGCCTTTAGATCAGTACAGTGTTGCAGACATAACATTCGCACTTAGGAGGCTGAGGTAGGTAGGTGGATCGGCATTTCGAGGCCATCTTGGACTAGCAAGGTTCTCTTAAAGGCTAAAGAGGTCCTGCTTTCATTTCTTTGAGGCATAGGCCCAGATGAGGAGTTGCTGTTCATATGGTAATTCTGTGTTTAGGGTAGTTTTGTTTGTTTGTTTGTTTGTTTGTTTTGAAGAATTGCCATGCTGATCTTTAGGTTTCTTTCTTAATTTCTATGTTACATGTGTGTACAGCATATGTGCACCTGGTGACCCTGGAGGGCAGAAGAGGGCATTGAATCTTTTGGATCTGGATTATAGATAGTTATGAATTGCCATGTGGGAACTTGGATCCTTGAAAAAGCAACAACTGCTTTTAACTGCTGAGCAATTTCTCTACACACACACACACCCTCCTTAACTTTAATACAGGGTTTGACTATGTACCCTGGCTGGCATAGAAGTCAATAGTAGACGAGGCATGCCCGTAAACTCGGATCCACTTGCCTTTACCTGATGAGTGCTGGATTAGTGGTATGTGCCACTGCACTTTGCCTTTATTTTGAAGCTTATTTAATAATTCCTAGCTACCTTTTATTTTTACGTTCTGTGAAAGTTAAAATGTTTTGTTTCCTTGTAGATGGACATTGATGGCTTTGAATGAGAATGATCATGGAAGTTGTGTCATTTTCTGTAGTTATATATCGGAGGGGGGGGGAAAGGCAGGACTGAGCCAGGATTCTCTGCTCATCTGTCTTTCTTCCAGTTTGTGATGTGCATCTGTGACATTGGGTGGTTGAGAAAACAAGAGCCTGGGTCAGCTGTCCCACCACTGGGTCTCCAAGAGACACCATGGAGTAAGGCTTAGTGGGGGAACTGTGGTGTGCACAATTTATTTTAGCTGTTTCTAAAGGCTGTTTGTGCTGATGTGTACATGAGAAGGATTTCTAAGGCAGCATGAACAAACTCGTATCACCTGTCGTAGAATGTTATTTGATATCTCCAGGAAGAGACAAGTTGAAGGCCAGCGTTCAGGTGACAGTGTAAATCTGTGTCTTTGGGCCTCCTGGCATGGGGTAGGTCTAATGACTACCCTTACTTAGAGCCTCCCCAACAGCTGGGGAGCAGCAGAAAGACCACAGTGCTAGTATCTAAGGCTGGTTTGGAATTTAGTACACAGTCCAGGTTGGCCTTAAATATAAGATCTTTCCAGCTTCCACTGCTCTCTGCATGGAAATTACAGGTGCACACCACCGTCTCTAGCCTAGTCATCTCTGTTAATGGAGGCAGAATTAGAGCTGAGACGGAAACGTGAGGTCCCAGTCCTCTCACATCTTCCCAGCCCTCATTGATCCTCCTACTTAGAGGGTTTCTTGGTAAAATGATCACTGACGAAGGGAGAGGAGGCACAGTTTGATGCCCGGCCTCTTCAACAGAAGGATGCAGCTTAGTTACTGAGAAATGAATTTGGACTAAGTAGAGGGCAAAGTCCAGGTAAAGTAAAGGTGTGGGCAGAGGCACTGGACTGATGACTTGTAAGCAGCAGGGACCCTGATCCAGGCCATTAGACAGAATGAGAAGCATTATGCACATTACAACAAAGCACTAAAATGAAACCACAGGAATATTCTTTATTCGGTGTTTCTCAGTCTTCTAAGACTGCAGAGAGAAACAAACCAACCACGGAAAACCATATAGTTAATCTGATTTTTCCTAATCTGATTTACACTGCAAAGTGTAAATTTTGTGAACTGAGATTTTGCATAAGGACATAGCTAGGGTTGGTGAACTGCAGTGAAGTTAAGAATCTTGATTTAGGAAAATCAGGTATTGAAATGAAATACTGAGATTTTTATCTGGGTCTGTAATGATTTGTAGGTGAGGGTGATTTTAGTATACCCCTTTTAAACTCAGCTTAAGATTCCCTTGGAATACTCTGCTCCTTGCTTTCTCTATATCTTCATCGTCATCATGTGTATGTTTTGCCTGCATGCATGTTTGTACATCATGTGTGTGCAGTGCCCAAGGATAGCTGTGAGCTGCCATGTGGGTGCTGGGAATTGAACCCAGGTCCTCTGGGAGAGCAGCCAGTGCTCTTGACTGCTGAGCCATCTTTTCAGCTCCAGATCTTAATTATTTTTTTAATATTATTTATTTATGTATTAGTGTTCAGTGTGCATATATGGTGCATGCCAGAAGAGGGCATCAGATCCCATTACAGATGGTTGTGAGCCACCATGTAGTTGCTGGGAATTGAACTCAGGACCTCTAGAAGAGCATCAGTACTCTTAACCATTGAGCCCAGTCTTTATTTTTAACCATACAGATCCTTGACATTACCACCATCCACTTCTAGGACTTTTGTATTCATGAATGGTATTGGGGACTGAAAGTAGAGCCATGTATAGGTTAAGATTAGCACCTTACCACTGGCTGGACTCCCAGCCCAAACTATGTACTCGTTACATTCCCATTCTGCCCTTCCTTCTTCCTCTAGCACCTGGCAATCACCATTCTGTTTTCTGATTTACTGATTGGCTGCCCTGATCTTCATCTCAGAGGAATCCTATT